ATCCGTTTAGGTGAAACCTAGGTAAATTTGTCTGGCTCACTAAATGTATATATATATATATATATATATATATATATATATATATATATGCAGCCTTGGATGGGGTTATTATACCTATTAAGATATATATATATATATATATATATATATATATATATGAATTCATTGCTAGGTCAACTGCTAAGGAAGTTGGCTCACTGTGTTGTACGAGAAAATTTGTCCCTCAAGAATCTATCTTACATTCATCCATACTTAGAATATTGCTGCCACATATGATCCTTGATAAAATCCAAAGAAGAATCAGCAATATTATTGGTCCTGATCGGATAGCTCGGCTTTAGTCACTTTCCCAACGCCATAAGGTTGCTTCTGCGTTTTTCTATAAACACATTCATGATAACTGTCCGAATGAGCTCTTCGCTATAGTACCTAGACTATATGATCTTAAGCGCAGTACTATACAGGCGTTGAGATCTCATCAATTTACCTCTGAGGTGGCTAGATGCAACCGTAAATTCTATGCTAACAGTTTCTTCTCTCGCACTTCTCGCTTATAGAAATCCCTTCAACCTCCATGCTTTCCATCCAACTCTTTTAAATACAATGTCACTTGCTATCTCCTGTATTCCTGATTACTCGTTCATCTTCCAGATCATTATTAATGTTTCTATTTCTAATCAGGATTTTAGTGATCTGGAAAGATAAGCATCTGTTTCTCGCTTGGGGTAATACCGATTAAAAATTTTAAAAAATCAAAGAAATATAAATCCGTAAGATTTACTCAAGATTAGCAGAATACCATTAATCAATCAGATTAAATGTTGAAGGGGGTGGAGCAAATCAGGAGGTGTAGGTTGAGTACGTGTATGCGAGAAAAAGAATCGGTGACAGTTTGTGTTCAGTTTATATATATCTTCTATGTGCCGGGTCCCCTTAGGGTGTGGGCAATCATGGCTCTCCACATTTTCCTGTTCTTTGTAGTTCTTAATAAATTGTGTCTTTTTGTTATTTCTCCTAAACTTTGTTCTGTCATCCATTTACTCAAGCTTGTCAGGTAGGTTATCAACTGATTTCCTATATTCCTTCGACATGAACTGTGAGTTGCAAATTTTCCAAGCCCTCTTTCCTCATTATGTTCGCTAATCGTTTCAACTGCCGTATTCTCAGCATCCTTCTGTATAACCACATTTCTATTACTTCAAGTGTCTTTTTCATCTGTGAGGAGATTGTCCAGCATTCACTGCCCTATTAGAAGACTGGTATTACGTAACAGTCTCGTACCCTTTTCTTTGTTTCTAAATAAATTTTCATGTTTCTTAATACTTTGCTTAGCTTTTGGAAAGTTCTTTCGCTATCTCAATGCACCTTTGGAGTTCGGGGACGCACTTTTCGTCCTCTGTTAAAAACCTTCCCAGATATTTAAATTGATTTTAATTTCTCCAAATTTTTCCTTACATGTTGGGCCATTCTTTTTCCTAACAACTATATATTCTATCTTCTTGCAATTGATATCTAATCTCTTTTACTCGCTTTTCTTCAGTTCTATAGGAGTTTTTGTAGTTTCATTTGTGTACAGTTGCCAAAGCATAAATTCCTCTGATCATTTTTGGTGGATATCAGAGAAGACTGCTTTTTTCACCGAAGTTGGCAACCAGTCTAAGAGAAAGAAAACCATTAGTTCAAAGGAAATTGACGGGAAATATTCCCGGATCTTTTCTGTTAATTCACTTCAAATAATATAAAGTTGCTTATCGCAAATATTAGTTAACCTCAAGAAATTATAAATTTTAAATCAAAGTTTGTTTTTATTAAATTTTTGGCACTCTTTTGAAATTATAAGTTTTAAATCAAAATTTGTTTAGTTTGCATCGCAACAACTCCAACCTTCAGAATAAAAAATTATCAAAAATCAGGGAGTTATTCACACCATGTAAGTGCGGATTATTTACAAGGAATTTTTTACAATTTAAAAAAAAAATTTGGCTTGTTTATCAAGGTGAGCGCGAACGTAGAGCGCCATACTTAGAAATGACGCACCCGAGTCGCCCACATTTGCAAAGGTCTACCCAACCGGAGTGTAATGGAAGGGCTTCGATCCGGGAGAATTTAGTGTGAATTTTAGCAAATATAAATTATTTTTATTTTGGGGTGAATAAATATTTTGGGGTGAATTAACAAATAAAGATCGAAATTCTTCTCTATGTCAATTTAGAAAAATGTCGTGTAGAATAATCGACGGTGTCCTGAAGGACATGACACTTAAGGAAGAGGAAAACTCCCTAGCTACGGGGTTCTTTTTATCACTACTAGCGGTTGTTTTCATATTCTACGACATTTTAGTAAATGGCATGAATTTGTTTATTTTTTTTTTAATCATTTCGCCACAGGCAAGGTCATGATGCTACTAGGACGCAGGCACTTACAGGCAGTGAAATAAATTTGATTGATTTAATTGATTCGTTTTTTTACGGTTTATCAACCCTTTGCAGGTTATTTAAAGCCAGGGGTATTTTTAGATTGTACGACATTTTTTGAAGATAATAATCACAGGAATAAACGTCTTACTAATTAACCCATAGCTGGTGGGAGAAGAGGTGGGTTCATACCTTTCTCAGGAGTATTTGCGCGCAAGTGAATATCACAAGCCCAACTCGGCTCTCCGATCAAAAATTCAGAGCCATTATTCATTATACAAGCTTACAGCACCTGGTGTTCATTACCTGATAAGTACTTAGTTGAGTGTCCAAGCGGTCACCCAACTAGGTACCAGGCTCGACAATGCTTAACTTCTGTGAAATGTTGTCAGCCTGTTATCAGAGTGAAAGGGAATGAGAAGACTTTAGTGAGGAGAAGTAAGGAAAAGGACAATAACAGGACCTGATTCAGGATAACAGATGACGATTGGCGTTTGAAGATTGTATGTGGCAGGAAAGCAAAACCTGAGGAGCGAGAATAGAACTAACGGTTACATCTTGTTAGAACTTGTTAGATGCGCTGAGACTTAGTTGCCAAGTCTAAGAGCACGCTTAAATTCATTCAGTTGGATCACTAAGAAGAACAGCTCATCAGAACAATCGCTATGGAAATATTTGTAAAAAAAAGACACAGAGAAGCCACGTCACGTCAGGGAGATAGTGACTGAAGACGAGATGCCAGGTCAGGATCGAGTTGTGAAAATAAGAAAAACGTTCTAGCAGGTTTCGCATTGCCGTCTCTTAAACATAAAAGCTTGTACCGGGACAACGGCATGTTAGTCAGGCTAAAAACGTTAACCAGCAGACGTCAATGAAAAGTAGGTATATGCACGTTCTTATTTACTCGGTTTTATTTCCACGCCATATTATTTGTTTACACCTAATAGCAAACGTAACAGTTTCAGTTGTCCAGACTTCTTTGATGAAGTATTTTTAGTTTTGTTAATCATTAACTGGTTTTTCTTATAACTTTTGCTGTGTTTAATCCAACAGTTAGATCGTTTTTTTTTAGATTGTACGACTGTTAATCCAGGCAAAGTGGATCAGAAAAAAAAAAGAAAGCTTTCAAAGAGATTTAAACTCGTATTCCTCACCCCTCAGCCCTTAAACTACAAATGTTTAAACGTTATTTAGTTATATAACTATTTTATTCCTTTCTGAATATACTGCCAATACTTGCTAAAATATTAGTAGGAGGAGGCATAGTATTACTAGTAGCTGGTGAAGTTATAGGCGAACTAATAGTAGTAGTAGTAATTGTAGTTACTGCAGTAGTAGTAGGTGTACTAATGGTAGTACTTACTAAAGCAGCAACAGTAGGAGTTACTGAAGTAGTAGGCGGAGTATTGTAGGCATAGTTATTAAATTATTAGTAGTAGTAGAAGGAGTAGTAGTAGTAGGCTTACTAGTAGAACTAGTTGCTAATTACTAGTTGCTGATGTATTAGTAGTAGTAGAACTAATAGTAGTAGTTGCTGAAGTAGTATTAGTTAAGAATCCTTTATTCGAAATTCTTGGGACAAGAAGTACTTCGGTTTTCAGATTTTTTCGGATTTTGGAATATATTTAATTTGTATATAGAATCTCTAAAATGGAACCCAAGCATAAACACGATATCCCTTTACATTTCATAACACTGCTTTTATATATATATATATATATATATATATATATATATACCTGAAGGTAGTTTTATATAAAATTTGATATATGATAATGATGTTAGTCATGTAATGCTCACACGGATTTTTAAGTGCTGAAATTAAGATTTCACGTAAAAATAATGTTTTGTACTTTCTGTACTGTAACGTGCCCCTGAGAAAAAAAAAATAAAGACAACTTTAACATGCACACGCTTAACCTGGAGTCAAATCATTTTGAGTCCTCTCTCTCTCTCTCTCTCTCTCTCTCTCTCTCCCCCTCTCTCTCTCCCTCTCTCTGTAACACCACTCTCTCACTAAGCGTTCGCCCTCTCCTCCTTTCTCCAACTCCACTTTCCCATTAAATATACGATCGCCTGTCCATCTCCCAATTGACCCCTCACACTATAAAGTCTAGACAGATAAAACAGCCGAAAAGACAATAGCAGTCGAGCGGGCAATAACTTATCTGAAAGAGGAAGACGATATGCCCAAATAAGGGAGTTGCACGGACAAGAGGAATGATCGCCCAAATCGAGGCCCACGTGACCAACCCAGGCTGCACACACGGGAAAATTAACAGTAGCGTGTTTTAAAATTGACTCGCAAAGTGACGGCACCTTAAACAAAATATTTCCTCAAGATAAGATATAGCCATCTTTAATCTAACCCGAAACTGAGTGAAATGAATGCTAGAATTGAGCATTTCAACTCTTGATAAAGCTTCAACTGATCTGAACGCGACAGAAGGAATTTCTACGAGACACCAATCCTCTGAGGATATGATTATTTCGACACGAAGTCGAGAAAGAATTTTAATTCACCTGTTGCGGAGACAACGTTATCCGAAAGAAAGAAAAGACCTTGCATCTATTTGATTCATACACTGGACATGAGAGAGAGAGAGAGAGAGAGAGAGTTTATAGACCTCAGCGCTCGGGCTAAATCGGCGAGAGAAAGGAAATTTATAAAATGATGCAAAGAAAAGAAATATGAAGAGATTTGTGAAAAAAGAGACAAGAAGAAAAGAAGGGGTGACGAAAAGAGAGAGAAAATATTCCATTTTTCTTTTATTTCCGCTGATGACATCCAGTTAACTACATTTGTCATTACGGAAATCACGTACATAATTCAGCATAGATGACCACACACACACTTTCTACAAAACTCTGTTCATTTCAACTTTATTCTATCGTACATTTGTTATGTAAATAAACTGTTTTTGTTCTAAAGCCTCGTGTCTGTTGTCTGTTTTTATCTTATCGCCACATATGTAGATATTCCGACCCTGAGAAAGGATATTATTTCTTTTTCGACTACGTGCGATTACTTTCTGTATCCCATTTATAATGCGTTGGCTTTGTGGTATAATAAATACGAATACACACCGGCTATTCGTAACACTATGTGTACAAAAGAAAAACATGATCATTACTTGCAAAATATATATATATATAAATGCAACACCAAACACTACTTCTACATCAGGTGTGGGGTAGAGGTGAGAGAGGGTAAATCCTCGATGACATCACTGTGTGAGAAAGAGAATTTGGTAAGCTATCAGTCTCTACCAACGATGATGTTTTGATTCAAATGTTACAATATGTGCAGGTTCAGTATTTGTATAATAATAAACCATGGCTACTCAAACGTTTGAAAGCGTCACTGCCGAAAGCAGCCCGAATACCGTTAATTTCCGGTGACTCAGCGTTTTCAGAAAGTGAAACACAAAAAAGCAAAATCAAATGAAACATAAACATACACAACTAAAAATAATGACCAAAAACTAATTTATATACACATGGTGCCCAAATGAAACCCATGTGCACATTCAAAATGTGGAAGTCAATTTTTAGTCGACAACCAAAAGATATTGTTAGCCAGGCAACGATGCTAATCTCGGCCGAAAAAAACACAGCCGATTTCTTCTACCCAATCAGACGGCCCCGTGATAGAGCGACGCGCTCCCCATCTCACCTTCACCTGGCCGACCCTTGTCGCTGACCACGGAAGAAGCCAAACCTAGCAGTAGCCGTCTCCACCAGTGAAGCCAGCTGCTCCCAGTCTTGTTGCCAAACTCAAGAGCAGACAAAGCCAACCACAGCAGTAGCCTAAATCGAAGCTTATGCGATAGTCCTTCTAAGAACTACCAAATCATATTCGTATGCAACCGCCATCTTAAGGACGAACATGTTACCTCAGCACTGCCTACTACGATCGTCTCTCTTCGTGAACGCCGATGCGGTCCTCTTACGGGTAAACCTCCGAGGATCAATCTGGACCTCGGATACAGCATTTTCCATCTGCCTGTTTCTGAGCTGCCGCCCTGAACCAAAACAAACGGTCTTTCGACTGGCACTCTCCGATTTCACGTCTGAACAACTCCAGATTTGTTGTACATACTTTTTGCCAGATTATTAAATAAAATTTGGCTTAAATTTTAAAATCCTCGCCTTTGTTGTCCTTGCTTCGATCGTATTACCCTACGTAATTTTTCTGCTTGCAGGGTTAACAGCACCCGCTTGACGTCCCGCAACAGCAGTCAATGTAATTCAAACTGAAAATTTTTTTTATTTTTTTTATTTGTAATTCTGACGCCCAATGATCATGCTACGGATTGCCATGTTGCTTTCTGAAATTTTCAATTCAAAAGATTTTGGAGTTTTTTGGATTTGGTAATTTTGGATAAAGGATACAAAACTTGTAATAGTAGAAATACTATTAGTGTTAGTAGAAAACGAGAAGAGAGGATTAAATATCAACTGGAAGAAGACAGATGAGTCCAAAGTACGAATTTCAAATCGGAAGTACCAAAATCAAACAAGTGCAGAAATTTAAATATCTGGAAAGTCCTTTAACAAAGGACAGAATGTGTGACACTGAAATCCAAAAACGTATTGGGATAGCCAAAGATGTATTCCAAAAGCTAAGCAAAGTATTAAGAAATAGGAAAATTTCGCTAGAAACAACAAAAAAAGAGTACTAAACAGCTATGTGATATCTGTCCTCTTGTATGGGAATGATTCCTGGACAATCTCCTCAAAGATGAGGAGGAGACTTGAGGTAAGTAACATAAATGTGATTCTACAGAAAGATGCTGAAGTTACCGTAAACCGAACATGCGAGCAACAACGAAGTACTACATAACACCAGGAAGAGAGAGTTGAGATTTCTAGGGCACATACTGAGGAAAGATGGCTTGGCAAATCTGAAACTCTCAGGACAGACAGAAATCAAGAGGGACAGAAGAAAACAACGTATGACATGCTTAACGAGCTAGAGTAAATGGATGGCGGAAGAGTGTTCAGGAGAAATCACAGAAAGACAAACATTATTAAGAGCTACAAGGGATGGGAAGTTGTGGAAAGCCATGATCGCCTACGTCATGGGGAGATACGGCACATAAACAAGAAAGGTAGTATTAGTAGTAGTAGCAACAAGTTGACAAAAGCAGAAAAGATAGAAGCAGGAAAAACATTGGCATGAGAGAATTGATAAATATTGCGTGAACAAAAACAACGTCCGCCAATCAGATTTGAAAATAAACATTCCTACTTGTAGCCTTTACTAAGATTTAAGATCCGTGTAATCAGGGGACACGTGAAATGACAAGTATTTTCAGCATAACATAAGAAAGATGTTTATATATCTACTCCAAAAGTGTCACATTTGAGTCACATCTGTTTCTCGGGTGGAAAAAGAGGGGCCGCGTTTTAAACCGATTTTTGATATATTGTGTTTGAGTTTGAGTTACTTGAACCAGAAATCCACTTATTGCCATTTCAGCTGGCAATGTGGACCTATAGAAAGATGGATATGAAAAGGCAACAGAACGAAAGATATGAAGGGAATAAGATATACAACACACACACACACACACACACACACACACACGCACACACGCATATACATATATATAAATATATATATAGAGAGAGAGAGAGAAAGAGAGAGAGATTAACTGATTGCGACAGCACGAGAGATAGATAAATAGAATGAGGAGGAAGAGAGAGGTTAATGATTAAATAGATAGATAGATAGATAGGTTAACAGACTGCGATAGATAGATTTGAACAGACTTTGATATATATATATATATATATATATATATATATATATATATATATATATATAGATAGATAACTGACTGAGATAGATAGATAGATAGATAGATAGATAGATAGATAGAAATGAAATGAAATGACTGAAAGAGATATAGGGATAGATAGCGAAAGAGAGATTAAAGGATTACGATATATATATATATATATATATATATATATATATATATATATAATAGATAGATAGATAGATAGATAGATAGATAGATTCGAACATAGATATGTAGATAGTGAGAGAGATAGAGGGATATTAAATGATTGAGATAGATAGACATTGTGTATGTGCCTTTTTTAAATAATGTATTGTGAATGAACGACACCCAAATTTCGTCATGTTTCTTCACCAATGCATGCGCTTTGCTTTGAAGTATGTCATAAGCTCAAAGTGATATTAACACATCGCAGTTATCTTGCAAATACTATCGACAGACGTGCGTCTATAAACAGTTTTAATTATGTCTTTCCTTTTCAGTCATGGGTATCTTCGACATTTTCGAGGTTTACTTTTTTTTGTCCACGAAACTAAAAATTGACACGACAATTCATTATAAAGATAAAAAAGGGGAAAATCAGGATATTGTTTTCTTCCTTTGATCTTGCCGACGTCATAGCATATATTTTTTGCTTGACGACTGTAAAAATGGAATTTTCTTTCTTTCTTCGGAAGACGACATTTAAATAAGAATGCTCTGAATTGATCACCAAATGGTCCTGTTGCGTAGCCATTGTGTTTCTTTATGTTGAGCAAGTGCAGAAAGAAACGAATAAATATAATACAAAGAAAAATCTTTTTCTTTTTCTTGTAAGAATGAAAAAGAAATCCTGAAAAGATAATAAAAATATTTTTTTTTAAATAAGAAAGAATAAGAAAAAAAGAATGTGGCGCAGATATGAAAGGGAAATTGAAGACAAGATGTAATGAAAATAAAGAAAGAATTAATATAGGAAGTAATACATGTATGTTTGCGTGTGTGATAAGCTTGGCTTATTTTTCTACAAAGACATATATATGGGTCACTCACTCCAACTCGCTCTTCTGCTTTAATTGGTCACATGTCCAACCTGCTAACCATACGAGTCATTCTATATATTTACTAATCTTAGACTGGTATGAGGCCATTTAAATCATAAATACAGTCAGTATAGAACTCTTTACACTGGTGAAATAGTCTCTAGTATTATCCTTTTATTCTTGAGTAAAGCTTCAATTAGAAATTCCCAAAATCGGATCAAATTAGATTCCAGATAATCATTCCGGTGAGCTACTGTATTCGCAAATAATCAAGATAAATACACATTATTTATTTTTACCGAATTTCTTGGCACTGTCCAGTTACCCACAGTTTTATTTACCCTCATCCTCCCTAAACTGGGCATCGTCTCTCTGTGTTATTCTTGTAGTTTTCCTCACCAAATTAAAGTTAAACGTGCGGTTGTAAAGAATTGCTTCATATTCAGGCAACACCGCTCTGAGTATATTTTCCTCTTGACTATATTATCAATCTGTTTTGTTAGTGTAAATTCATACGTGGTCTTTTAACAAATCTATTCAATATCAATTTATTAATTTTATTTGGCAAGTTTTGCAAAGAATTGTAAAACTATTCCTGAGTTTTCTTGTGCAAATATCCATTCTATGCAGTTAAATGCAAACATGGATATAAGCACAGGCAAAAGTTTGATTTATTGTGTCAATAAGGGAAGCAAAATTATACTTGACGCTACTATTGTCGAGTTTGATTGCAGCAGCAGTGCGGACAACGCCGAGTAACCTTGATATCATTCAAATATTTGCAACTGAAAACATTTTTAAAAAACGTTTTTTTCAGACGAACCGATGTCACGAATTCTACAGAATCATGACAAGAGAAAGTTATAAAAATGTCTTATACGAAATGAAAGCACAAAGCGAATTTGCGATTCCAATTTGTCTTCATTAAATGCTGCTTGTTCAGAAGAAATTCTTTTTTCTGAAATTTGCGTTGCAATGTTTGCTAAAGATCTTTATCGACCATTCTCTTGTGATAAACCGTTCGTTTGTATAATTTTGTGAATCGGGATACAGAAGTTCGCCTTTTATTAATAGAAAAATAAAGGCATCTGTGCACGTCGGTAAAATCACCTGCTCCAGATTAATGGTTAAACAGAACAAATACGATTTTTGTTGTTTTGTAAAGGTTTAAATACGTACTCACAACAGTCGCATCCATCTATATATGCATTTTATGCCAGATTAATCTACGAGTTATACTGGTACCATATAACGCACTGGTATCTGCTGCATGGTTAGAACATTGGTGACGAAACTAGTTCTAGTGGGATGAGTGGCGAGACACTTATCAGGATTAAAAACAAGAGCAGTTGTAGGGTGGATGAACTTTTATTTTAAGGGTCAACGACATCTAGATCAATGATGCAACCTGGACTCCATAGATATGTTTGTAACCAGGCCTGATGACACGGTATCGGTGATACTGTGTCATCCGAGACAGAAGTCAACGGTTAGGAACGCGGGTTCCTCTATTGGAATCAATGACAACGTGTCCGTGATTAAGGCGAACCTTCATGTTAGAGGATATTGACTCTAGCTTAACATGCAGAAGGATGGTCTCCGTCAGGTCGACATGCCCAAGAATCGCTACGCATGAAGAAATACCTTTCCGACTAAGCTCTGTTTTAATTTAATTCAATATCTTTCTACTGATTTCTGTTGCGATCTATCTGAATTTCAAAATCTCTTTTTTTTGACGATGATTTCTTATTTGAATTGAGTAAATTGTTTGAATCTCAAAGTCCCAGAGAATTCTGTGTGTTTCAATCAGATAATGCATACACAACCAGACAGATTCTGCTTTGTGTATGCATTATTGGACTGTATGGCTGAATTGTAACTGTAAGCACATTTCCTAGGGATCTACCCTTCCTACCCAGGCATACCTGTTTATACTCTTTCTCTACTAATTTGCTGCTTTCATTTTGTTGATTGTTTCATCACACGCTCCACATCGGCTAATATATACTTGGGTCTTGGCTTCGTTCTTATGACGTTGTTCACACGTAATAATGAAATAGAATGTGTGGAGAGCTATGATCATCCACGACATGAACTGATATAGCATTAGAAAAATGTCGCTACTTACTTCAATTGCCAATGACCAAATGATGGTGCTTGATTTTAAGAAGGTGATTAAAAGAAGAAAATTTAAAATAAAGTTTAGCATACGCTTAGATGTGTGTCAATTATGCGGTAAGCGTTTACAGCTGTTTAAAATGATTCATTGTGTTGATGAAGTCAAATTTTAGAATTATACACGTTACACTCGAAATGGGAAGCCTTAGATTTGCTTGCTTGCTTGTACTAAAATAAAATGATATATATTTTTTAATGTAATCCTTTCTTGCTAATATTTTTAGCGATGAAGTCATTGGTAGAATAGAAAATATATTTAAGTACGTGTAGTCTGATTAAAACACGAACCTTCCTTTTTCTCACAACTGATAATTTTATAAATTCATCTGCAAATATATACTGAGTCCATTGTATACCGATCTATGTCTGTCTGCCTACGAGGAAGTGCTTAGAAGTTCTTGAACCAACCCTTTTCTCAAAATCCTATTAAATGGCCAAGCATCAGGATTTGGTCAGCTCGAACACTTTATATCCCTTCATATGATTTTTAATCGTTTCACTCTAAGCAAGGCGACAAGGCCACTAAGATGCAAGAGGGCTAGACAGAGCGAAAGAGAAGGAGGAAATTGAAAATGGGGAGGATGGAGAAAATGACAAAAAGGAACAGGGTTCTAGAAAACAGAATATGGCGATTGACGTTGCACTTAAATTTCTGAAGATTTTAGTTATCAACACTATTTACATTATTCGGACTATTATCCTCACTTTTGTTGCCATATTTATCACAACGTTTCGACCGTTGTACGCTCCGGCCTTCTTCATGTGGTTGGAATGTCGAACTGAACACTTTATTTCGTTCACTGGGGTAGACTGTTCTAGTTCCAATGTGCCATGTCTAGTGGAAGTCAGTTATCAATTATCTCTTGTTAATTCACCTCACCAAGTTCACCACTGCCTTAACCAGATATTGAACTCACAACTTTTTGGCTCCTGTCACTGGATCTAACCAACGCCTTTATCCACTGTGCCATGTGTCCCGAATAATGTAAATAGTGTACATAATATCTTATCTCAGAAATAGACAGATAATTTAGTTATCAAGGAAGCAAGAAACCGGATGGGAGTTCCATAAGTAAGACGTGCAAGGAAAGAAACTTTTAGAGTATCAGTGGGACTACATCTAGCTACTTTCAAAGTAAAATGGTGGGACCTAGTTGTCAATCTAGTAGCACGCTTCAATTCATTTAGTCGGGGCTTCATGGCTAAAGCTGATCATAGCAGATGCCATGAAAGTATTTGTAGAAATATTATTTAAAGTGTTAACTATTTTCCAAGTTTATTTCATTGCCTGCTATCAAATGGCTCTACTATTGAAATTGATTTTCAATAGGAGTAGATAGGTTAAGCTATCATCCAGTTCACACTCCATTCCGTCGATTTAACAGAAGTAGAGGGCTATACTCTGTTTCTTGTTTAGGATTGGGTTTCCGCTTCTTTGTAAACACCTTGCATCTTAATGGCATTATCGCCTTGCGTGGGATAAAATGATTAATATATATATATATATATATATATATATATATATATATATTTATTTATTTAAAATTATTTGGAATCCAAAAAAAATTTCGCTTGAAGATGGAAGAGAGCTTACTTTAACTCAATTTAAGTTTTCGGCTCTTGCTTTGAAACATGAGACCTCTTATGTCGCGAATTGGAATCATGTTTTTAAATAAATAATTATATTTATGCTCTACTTTTGTATCGAGCACTATTTTTTAAAAATAATAACTAAAATACTAAGGGACTTTGGATTATTTGCCTAACCAGTTCCTTCCGATTTTCTATATATTTTCTTATATATATATATATATATATATATATATATATATATATATATATATATATATATTACTGTAAATGTCATTTTCTTGGGTAAACTTATTTGAGTTGGTTTTCCTCTTTTTATCTTTTTAAACATAAAAATAATATCGATATAAATCTAATATATATATATATATATATATATATATATATATATATATATATATATATATATATATAAGCCGCCATTGATAGAACCATTATTCTAGTCATGAAAGCGTTGTATAGTTTTACTGATATTTTTTTCTTCATAGAATTCAATTGTCTACTATCCATCGGAGTATATATATATATATATATATATATATATATATATATATATATATATATATAATCTTCCATTAAAATATTATCAGTATATTAGAGAACATGATCATCTATATAAGTGTGAGCAAGTGTGCATAAGTGCATGTGTGCGTTTGTGTGCGTACGTGCGCAAGCCTCTGTTTGTGTGTCTGTGTGTGCAAATGATAATCGCAAAACATCTTTTGGTGTATTTTAGTCATTCAAAAAATCTTTAAATATACATTATCCTTTTTCATTTGTGTATGTGTGTGTGAGTGAGTGTGCGTGCCCGCTCTTGATAGGTAGACATTGTGTTGTATCATTTTTGTATATGGCTAAAAGGTTAGGTGTGTACCTATTTATAAATGTGTAGTGTAATTAATGTCAAGGACTAAGAACTGGAAGCGGAGAAAGAGGAAGAAAAGCATTCTTCCCGATCATGGCTTCCTTCTGTTCTTATCAAGAAAGGGAAGCATCTGGAACTTACCTCCTACTGTTCCCAAATGCTTTTCCATATCCCGACCCCTGCTGCGTGTCTGTCGGTAAATCTCATGCTGACACGATCTGTCATAACGGGTACCTTATTTCTGGAGGCCTCCTTTTCTCTATTTTTTTTTTAATTTTAGGATTTTTCTTATCTGTATCATACTCCAATGTACTTTTCACACGCACACACATACAAACTTTTATCCGCATACACTCAAACACACACACACACACACACACACATTTATGTGTGTATGTGTGTGTGTGTGTGCTTGCTTGCTTATCCCGGGCGTAACAGCAAAATTGTCCAAATTGTGTAGTTGAGTTATTTAGCTAAAAAGGAGGCAGGTTAATTTTTTTTATTCCAAACCTACTGTCTTCCCATCTGAGCAATGGCGAGTGAAAAAATGGTACCAACATTCATACTCTGGCTTCCATCTTCCAAGCCCATCACGAGTACAGTGAATAAGTTTTAAAAAAGTGGGAACAGTAGAGAGGAAATCTGGATTAGGACGTCACAACACGAAGCGGGACCACCATTTCAATTTAGAGCTAAAGTGATCAATTAGAAAAGATCCAACTCAATTCATAAGACGCTTGGCACTTGAGAAAAGAGTTTCAGCTATGACAGTTCAAAGAGCGGTGAAAAAAGGAATTTTTGGTCGATATCCCACATTAAATTCAGCCTTGTGCCACATCTGACCGCGTGAGGCGGTTGGTAGGTATTCTGCAGTTGGAGATTCATTATGGACTTAACTTCTAGCAGTTGACTTCTATACGCCGCTGGCGAAACTTATACGTGTTGTCCTCAGTATTATCGTTCATTGAAAAACTTCGTGGGATTATTCTATTCAGTAACCGTCCCTAGGTTTCAACAATATATATATATATATATATATATATATATATATATATATATATATATATATATATATATACACACACAGGGTGCGATTGATAAATTACGGACGAAAATAACACTCATTTTAACAAAAAAT